ATATACTGTATATGAAACATTTATTTTGCCAATGGAAAATCATGATGGAGTCAAGATAGAAAATCACCTTGAAATCAAATCTGTAATACAGCAGCTCCAACAAAATAATTTCAGTTCATAGGATGACATGTAATCATGGGAGCAGTGTTCTCCTGTGAGTGGCAGATGGCACATTCTGTAAAGGCCCCTTCCAAGAACAGTATCTTAGGCATGAGGTGATTGGCAGTACAGTTTCAGTCCACAAATATGCATATATTCATATGAACGTAAGTAGAGGAGGGAACAACTGCCTTTCATGATGGCTGATGGGTTTTCTGGGGAACATGGTGTATTATAACGGGTGGCCATGACCTGAGGCCGCCACACTGATACAGCATCTCTGTGCATTTGCCTTGGAAACAGCAGCATGGTTAGATGTCTCAGGCCTTGAAAAGCTAACAGCCAGCTCAGGGTAGTAGTTTTAGTTTGAGGTCAAAAGGAATAGAAAAGCCCCTGTCACAAAATATAGAGGCCCAGTTTAGACTGATTCCTGTGAACTGGCTGGGAGAAGCAATGGGAGGATGGGTGCGGTGTGTGCTGAGAGCCACAGCCCTTTTGTGGGTATGTCTTAAGTCTTGATGTTTTGTAAGGTCTTCTTATGAGTCTCCACCTTCGGGCAATGCTGCTTTTGACAAGTACATGTTTTTACATCAGTGCTTCAAGGATGATGTGCCTGGGGCTCAATAATGCCCTGCTTTTTGTAGATGACTGCTTGAATACTATGTTCAAGCTGATGGACAAAATTTTAACATTTTAAAAGTAGCGAAGTAAGTAAAATCTTGAAAACAGTTATTTTTCTTTGAAGATGACTTAAAAAATTCCTTCCACTCTTTATAATCTATCCATCTGCTTGCACTGTGGTTGCAAAGATAAATTTAAGGTTTTTTATAAGCATACAAAAAACATACAAAGTTGGGATGATTTAGAAGTGAGAATGTAAAAAGTTCTCTTATGGTAGATTAAATGAGAGTGTGAAAGCAAATATCTCAGATCACAGCGGGTCTTCCTAAGGCGCCGTAATAGACATTAAATCGTCCTTTTAGTTTGGTAATTACATTTAGTGTCTGCCCTGTAGTGCTTGTTGCGTTTCCCACACTCACGACGTAGAAGATCAGGGAACAGTACTGGCAAAGGAAGTGGCAGTCTAAATGCAAGTGCTTGGGAAGTTTATTTGTCCCTAAGTTAAACGAGAGGCAACTCTGCCACTAAATTCTCCTTCAAATGATTTTTTGTGTGTCTATTGGGAGGATGGGGGATGTTGACCAAGTTTTGTTCTTGATCTTTGCTATATTTTCACAATTACTTATACAACCAGGAAAAAACCCACATTTTAAAAGAGAGCACCACCCTAAAAAAATGTAATAGGCCATAATAGTTCTGGATTGTAGGTGATTTAAAATTTCCTCTTTAAAAAATTTTTCTGGTTTCTCCAAGCTTACCATGGTAGTACAGGGAGGGGAAGAAGAAGAGAACATGATACCCTAAGAAATATACATTTCCCCATCATTTTTACTATATTTTCCAAGGATTTTAAAGGAAAAATATATATAACAAGCAAATTTACATTTCTTACCGTCATTTAGTCATGTTAATTATAAGAACCTAGTGTATAATATTGAGAACAGTTATGTTTATTAAACCAGTCTTTATTCTTTTACAAATTATAAGTGCTATTTGACTTAGGTAAGTAAATAGTATTATAAATATCAGAATACGGGTATTTGCAAATATTCACTGCTCTGAAAATCTCTGCTATAAAACTCAAGTATGATATTTGAATATAAATATAAATAATATAAATACCATTTCCTGACAGCCACTTACACTGTGGAGGAATTAGAAGCATGCATGTGGATACACGATCAACATTTAACAAAAGGTACAACCAGACTTCTGAATAGGGTCCCAGCCTGTTTTGACCCTTTCACCATATTGTGTGCTTTATTCCAGAAAAATTAGATTGCTTAGTTTCCCAAACACATTCAGCTTTGTACCTCTATGCTTGTGTTCTTCCTATTCCCCTTGCCTGCGCTGTACTTCCTCCATCTCTGATTTCTGGAATCCCATCCATCCATCTTGGCCCTCTTCAGATACCAGCTTATTCAGCAGTGATTCCCCATCTACCCCCAGTGATGAGCAAGCTCCCTTGCTTCTGAACCCCTGCAAGGTCTTCTTGATGACCTTTTCTCTGTACTCATTTTGTACGTGATGAGGCAGTGACTTTAGGGCAGCATCTGCCTGGTGCCCCTCTGAATGCCCTGCAGCACCTGCTCCAACACCTTGCACACAGCAGGTGTCTAGTAACTGTTTGTTATCTTCTTTCTAGGCTTTTGACTATCACTTGCCAATCCAATCCATCAACACGTATTTATTACATGCCTTCTATCTGCTGGGTACCTGAGATGTGCAGGTGAAGGGAAGGCGCCATCTCTGTCCTCGATTCTAGTTGACAGGTGGCAGAGAACTGACAAAAAAAAAACACTAAATCAGTGACAATTTTAGTTAAAGTAAGTACTCTGAAGGCAATGTTGTAGGCAAATTAGGCAATTTAGTAGAAAGTATGTTAGGGTCCTGTGTTAGCTCCAGTCGCAGGGCAGACCTCCTGAAGAAAGAACAGTTTCAGAGTTGAGAACTGAATGATGAGAGAGGGAGGCAGCCATGGGAAGAACAGTGGCAAGTACTCCACGGGAAGTATCCAAGCAGAAGGGATAGCAAGGGAACATACCCTGAGGTGAGACCAACTTTGAGTGTTTAGGGGACAGGAGGAAGAGAGCTGTAGCCCAGTGAACGAGGCCAGGGGTGGAGAAAGGTGTTCAGAGAGTTGCGGGATTAATCAGGGGCTTAATGGACCATAATAAGGAGTTTGCGATGGGAAGGTGCCAGTGGTTCTTAACAGATCAAATGAATATGAACTGATTCATACCCAAATGAATTTACAATGTTATTTTTTTGAAAGTACTCACACCGATGTCCCACAATTTGGTATACTGAGTTTGATGGTAACTTCACCTTGAGTTCTACAAATATACATACTAAAACAAGTATGTTACAGATATAAGTGACATTCTTAATAATTACATGTTGCTGATGCTTCAGTTTCTGTAAGTAAAAACATCAGTGTCCCACCATAATACCATAAAAATCAAATGAGTTTCCAGTAAACTGCAGTTTTAAGTGTGTCTTTTCTGGTTTCTGAGGTTGTTAGGGAAAAGCAAATTAGGCTAGTTTCTCTCAAGAGCTGTTTTTATAAATAGCATTCAATATGGAGTGTTTTAATTGGTTAAGATTACCATTATATATATTAGACATGTGTGGTGTAGTCCAAATCACTGAAATGTCTTAATAAATATTAATTATTGAGAATGAGAAAGAAATAGAATATACCTTATTTCACCACTCAATATAAATATGTAGGCTTCATTTGTTTTTAATTCCACACTGTGCAGGCCCAGCATTCCCCATCATCCGCCTCGCTGGCGGGAGCAGCGTGCATGAAGGCCGAGTGGAGCTCTACCATGCTGGTCAGTGGGGGACCATCTGTGACGACCAGTGGGATGATGCGGATGCAGAAGTGATCTGCAGGCAGCTGGGCCTGAGGTTTGTGTTTGTTCTTGTTTTGTTTTGTTTTGCTAACATTTTAAAATCTGTTATTTCCATACCCAAAGGCAGGTGGCTGTGTGTTTAAATTGTGCATTTCCTTGAACAAATAGAAAAAGGTACCTTTTGATTTTGTACTAGACTCCAGGCTCCCTGCAGAGAATTTATTTTTATTCTGAGGTTAAGCTGTTTGTATCTGAATTCAATTGATTTTATATCCCTAGGAATCTAAGCCTTTTACTACTTTTCGTTAATAGCCCTTATATTTCTCCCAGGTAATGACCAGCCACATCAACTTATCAGTCATACTATGCAACTAGTGTTAGGTTTCAGCTGAAACTCAATTCTTCTCCCCAGATATTTTCTAAACTTTTGACATTTGCTTCCTTCTTTGTTACGTATGTTAGAATAAAGGATGTTTATTAATATTCAGTGGAAATACTTGCCATGTAGGGATGTAAATGTGTAGTAAAGACAGCAGTATGAAAATCAACATTTCATGTTGCCTGAGTTGTGATTTTTCTGCAGTTAGTAGTATGTTACTATTTGGGGTTTTTAAATCCGTCCCTGGAGTGATTCTGAACATTGGTATAAGAAGCCTAAATGGTTCTCTAAATTATACTAGGGGATCTTTTAAAAGCTGATATTTTACTTTGAATTTGTAAACTTTTGCATTTAGCACTTGGTTGTGGTGTGGGGTGGGGAGGAACCTCTTGAGATTAAGGTTTCTCTGTCCATGTAACATTTTGTCCAATTAAGTGTAATCCTTGACACTGGACCAGGATTTTTGAAACTTGGACCAATTCTTATTTTTTTGGCAATTGGTTTTTGCAACTGACCCCCCTCTTTTTAAAAATTCTGTGTTTATATTGAAATATTTTAATAGGCATTATAATATTTTACCTGTACTTCAGTACATCTCTTAAAATAAATAAGAACATTGTCTTACGTAGCCAAATTAACATGATCACAACTAAGAGAATCAGTAATCCTTCTTAATATTGTCTAATACCCCATCATATTAAAATTCGCACCATTGCCCCTACAAAGTCCTCGACAGCTGATCTGTGGGAAGCAGAATCTATCCTGGCGCAGCCCACCGGGATGTCGTGCCCCTGAAGTCTCCTTGAATCTAGAACTGCTTCTTGTTTTCCATCACACTGATTTGTTGATGAGACCAAGTCCGTTCTGGAGAGTGTCCCACCTTCTGGATTTGTGTCACTCCTTCCTAGTTTCTCCCTTCTTCATTTAGTTTACTCCTCTGTTTCTTGCAAGTCCTGAAATTGGTGACTAGATCCAAAAGGCTTGATTAGATCACCATGTTTTGGCTAAAAATTACCCCAGGTGATGTGGTGATGTTTGCTCGTCTTGCATCTCATCAGCATCTTAGGCCAGCTCAGGTTCTCCCCATGCTGAGGCCTGCTCTTTCACTGTGAACTTGCAGTTTCCCCCGTCGCCGATTTTGGGACCTAACTGCTGTTTTGCAGTTCACATGTGGGACAGGAAGAAGCCTGGCAAACCCTGTGTCCATAGGGTTTATAGTTACCAGTGGTGGTAAATTTACTGGAATGATCATTTTCTTTGAGTGGGTCAGTAATAGGGCCAACCGGTTCCTTTTGAGAAAATTGTTATTAATCATTAATTTTTTAAATGTTCTGTTTGGGTATCAGTCTCAAGAGCAATTTTCTTCAAAATTCCAGTTGTTGCCATTGGAGTCAACATAGCATAAGATTTTGAGCAGGTACCCTGTCCTGGGAATGATCTGGATTTGAGTCCTACTTTTGGGAGTGAGAAAAGTTGCAGAATATCTCTTAGTTGCAATTTCCTCATCTACAACATATTTCCTAATGTGTAGGGTTTAGTGTCTATAAAGCAGTTAGCACACTTGTAAGTGCACAATATATATTGACTATCAAGGTCAGTCTTATTAGGGGCTTTTATAGCTGAAAGATGTTATAAAATATTCAAAGAAAAATGCTATTAAACATTCAAAGTAAACAGAGCATTTAATGGTGAGATCATCAAACACTATACCTCTATCCAGAACTTCTATTTAGTTAGCTATATCTATGAATTTCATACTTTAAAACACTATTATGTGTCTATGTCTATTTACTGGGTTTTATCAATGATGTGGTCACTGGAGTGCTAATTGATTTTCGTGTTAGTTACTAAGAAACGTCTTTGCCAAAAATAGTAAGAACTTTCAGGGTATAGTAATAACATATTTAACATTACAGTTACAGTATGGATTACTCTAAACTTAGGCTATAATACATTTTTTATTATTATGTTTCTGTGGGAAAAGGCAAGCTTTTGTTGCATAGAAAATGCATAGAAATTTTAAATTAAACACTGAATATGAATCGTATTTACAGTTACGGAGTGATTCTGAAAATTCATGTTGAAATGTAGGGTTCTTTCTTGATAGCCAATTTTTTTTTCACTTAAATTAACAGTTCTTAAGACCATGTGGACAAACAATGGTCTACTACATAGAATATACAAGTGGTATCACAATGAAGACTGTAATAATGTGAACACATGCATGGGTTAAATAAAGTGTTTGCATCTTTCTCAAGCATTAGTTTATTGCCGTCTTTCATATGAGGAGACTCATGTTTGAAAAAGTGATTAAAAAGGGAAAAATAGCTCCAAATACACAAGAGCAGAAAGTCTGTGTAACAACCAACAATCCAGAAGGAGAGGTTTGTTGTCATATAAGCACTCGGATGCTCTGAGCTGTCATTGTCCATTTGCCTTGATTTTATAGTTCTCTTATAAGTTTGCTTTAAAGTAGTATTCTGCAACCACTCCCCCTTTCATTTGTTTTGCTTGCTTAAGGGTGCAGTACTTTCAGATGAAATGGTATTTAATGGCATATCGTTGGTAGCAGGTAACATAACTGTTACTTGTCTCAGTTTATGATTTGCTCTTAAGCAAATTTCATCACAGTCTTACTTGCTTTGTTAAATTCCCACAGGGAAGCTGCATCGTGCCTCCCTGGAGCGGTGGGTAGCTGTTTCTGTTGACCCTCATCTTTTAATGGTATCCCTAGGTGGTGGTAGCTGGCAAGCTATCTAAATACAAAAGGAGTTACTGTCATTAGATTTGATTAACCCAGAACTTGGGGAAAGATGAGGACCAGGAAAGGAGGTAGCCAGTTGTTAGAAAATTGAACTTGAGAATGTGTATGTATCCAGTGAAGTTTCAGCTGGAGACGTTTTAAGTAGAGTTGCTTTTGTGAGTTCAATATTAAAGTATTTCCCATGTCTTTTGAAACTCTTAAACATAGCTAAGAACTGTAACATCATATTTTGTTATGTGGATATGCCATAATTTACATAGGAATTTGAACCTTTTAAACATTTCTTAGTTTTTTTTGCTATAAAATTGTATAAAACATTTTATTGAGTTGTCAGAATAAAAATTCTTCTAATATGCTTTTTAAAAAAATGTTTCTTCACTCTTTTATTTCACCATTTCATTAATTTCTTAGTATATTAAAAACTTTACGATTAGGGTAACCTGGTACAGAGAATTACTGAGTGAGAAAGAGACCTTATTTAACAGATGGGAAGTCAGGCCCTCTGAGATTACCCAAGGGCCCTGGAATCGTTCTGTTAGTGAGAGCCTGAACCTTAACGTCTGTGGCTCCCATTGTAAGATTTTTTTCTTTCATGTTACCCTGTTTGTAAAATAGCTAGGTGTTAATGAGAATAAGTAGAAATATAGGGCTGAAAGAAATAGGGAAGTCAAGAGAGAAAAGCTAATTTTAGGAAGAAGATGATGATGAACATGTTTTAGAGAGACTGTGTTTTAAGTGTGATAGGCACCTTATTAAAAATGCCGCCAGATAGCAAAGTGTTCCAGGCTTTGCTTTGTAGCCAGACCACATTTACCACCTAGTGGTGGTATAATGCTGGGCAAATTGTTTACCTTCTGGGCCTCAGTTGCTTCATGGGTAAATTGAGGAATACATCATGGGGTTATAGGGAGTATAAAGCTGTGAGACCAGTGCCTGGCATACAGTAAGCATTCCATATACATCAAAAATAATTACTGGAGGTGGAAGTGATTGTTTTTTAGAGAGAAATATGGAATATTGATCATGAAAAATGATTTTTCCATCCATAGATTTACAAGGGTTACAAAATGATATTTGCAGTTAAAGGACCAGTTTGTTTTATAACCTACCAAGTAATTATCTTGCACAATAGAATTGCCTAATTCTATTCTGTGTCTATTCAAAGTAGTAGGTAAGCCTGAGGATTGATTACTCAGATGGTGCTGTTTGTTTAGTCTTTTTCTATGAAAAAGCAAACTTTTTATGCATCCAGTCAGATTAACCTAATAGGTTGAAGAATGTTTTGGATAAGGATCGGACATAGAATCAATTCAGTGTTTATTGGTGATTGCTGTTAAGTAGGTCAAACAGCTTTACAGAAAATAACCTAATAAAGCAATGTATTATATCAGAGCATCCCTATTCCACAAATTTATTCTATAGTCAGAGGGTAAGAAAGTGGCCAGCACTGGGATTTTTTCCTACGAATGAACTGCCAGGGCTGGTGTGCATATGAGTTCTGCCAAGCAAGGACAGAGAACCCAGAGTTTTATTGAATTCACATAGCAGTTGTTCGACGTTAACAGTCCATGAGTCTTATGTTACTGTCCCCAGTATCGCAAAATCTCTTTGAGGGCAGAGTCATCAGTTTCTTTGCTGTTCCCTTAGAAGCCAGCACAGTCCAGGGCACCAGGAAACACTAGTGACTGGCTGAAAGTGTATTTATGTAATATTATCTTCTTAATTTTAGTAAACTCAAAAATTAGCTAGAAAAACTCGTTTGTTACATCATAATTTCTTAGTTAATGTAGTTAATTTTTTTCTCAAATTCTATTAGTTTTTTCTGATTATTTTAATTATACATTCTTGTGATCATTAAAATGATGTTTATAAACAATGGAAAATATAAATAAATAAACAAGAAAATAAAACA